TTATTTAAAAAATGGGTCTAGTCCTTTGTTACTGGTAATACATTAGACTTTTGCTAATCTGACTATCCATTTCTTGCAAAGAGGAGTGCCAGATTATTGAGATTATATAGATCTATAGACAATGACTGATTGACTTGTTGCTTTTTGGTAATGATCCTTTTTAGAGTTGAACTGTTTTCTTATTGTGAAATTATGTACAGTTATAAAATAATTGTAAAAAGTTACATTCATAATAACATGCAATACTGTATACAGAAATGAAACAGGATAAACAAGAAAACAGGATATGTGACAGGATTAACATTTTCATGGAAATAGAAGCATACATGTGAGCACATTGGTGGGAGAGGAGAGGTTTCAACTTGTTGAGTAAAAGAAGTGAGGCTATTGCCATATGTATATGCTACTGAAAAAACATTTTGAAAAAAAATTGAAAGAAGACTAGGCAATATTTTATGCTTGAAAATATCCATTGAACAATTCTCAATTGAATATTGGACAGGTTTGAGAAACGTAGAATTATAGAATATCAAAAGTCTAATGGTTGGCCAGCAAGCATAGAACCACTAAAGTTACATGGACAGTGGAATGCATATTCAAGCAGGATCCTGACACATCATTGAGAACAGTGGCTGCAAAACTTGGTCTTGCCATCAAGTAGTGCAGGCAGAGTGAAATTCTCAATATAATTTTCCTGAGACAGGTTAACTGGTCAGACTAAACATCCATGACCCTGTCAGTAGTGTAGAAAAAAAATCAATAAGCTTTCTGTGTTTATTTATACAGATACTGTAAAACTTTCACTACTAGGTTTGTCACATAACCTAGCAATCAAAGAAATGCTATTTTCTTTAACATATTATCATTTAGGCTTGCAGTCAAAAGCACAGAAGAATAAAAACAATCTTGATGTAAGATAGAAGCTCATCAGAAAAGGCAAATTTATCATTATTATCACCAAAATCTTTCAAAGATCCAGAAGACCATTGCAGAACATTTTTCTCAAGTGTTCAGGGTCACTATTAATTACTGAACAACCAGGGATATTTTGTCATAGAACAATGGGAGCAAAATGAAAAACTTCATAGCTGTATTAAATGAGAAGGGAGGATCAAACATGTTAACTTAGAAAAAGTTCTCAATTTGAGGACTGAGCAAATGAATGCTTTTAGTTTTCAGAAATGAGCTAATTAAGCTTCAGACAAAGGACTTATGCACAAAGTGCAACATCATAGACTATCATTGCAGCAATGGCTGGCTATACAAGTTTAAGAAGCACCGTGGGTTCAGAGTTTTATGTCCATTATTGCTAGAACAAGAAAAGTTGGATGACAGCAACTAAGTTCAATGATCAGCTGACCATATGTAACAATGAAATGAGACATATAAAAGATAAAAGTGTTGCTCATACTGGACAATGTAACTTTTCATATCTGTGACAATCTCAACAATATATGTTTGTGCTCCTTACTTCCTAACACTATGTCAAAATTACAACCACTTGAAGCTGGTGTAATCAGATTGATGCCAGAGAACCTGTCAACCAAAATTTGCTTCTTACTAAGACCATTTAATTGATAGCAGAAGCTTGACAGAAAATAACTTCAATATGCTTCCAATTGTTAGAAGCATATTGATCTCACACATCCTGATACCACTGAAGATCAGACAGTGCTCTAATCAAAACTCCAAGAGCTTTCTTATTCTCTGGCTACAGTTTGTCCTTAAGTTCAAGAAGATGATATCCTGTAAGTTGAAGATGATATACCAGTTTGTGTAAAATGACTCTCAATGATATCATTGAATCTGTGTTGGGATAAACTGAGAATAATGATGAAGTTGTTCCTGAAATTCCTTCCATTGGAAAAGTGCTGGAGTATCTTGAAAATAAAGCAAAAATTTAATAGCTAAAATGTTTTCAGTTAGAAGGTCGTTAAAAATATCTGAAAACATTTAAGTTATTAAATTTTTGCTGCATTTTCAATGTTATTTAAGTGTTCATTATAAATTTTGGGCTGCTTGCCTATGGTTGATGCTGGTGTAAAAAAAAGCTAACAGCTGTAATCTTGGATTTAACTTAGCCATAAACTTCAGAAGAAAAATCACTAATACATTTTGTGAAAAAAGAAAAATTCTCCTGCAAGAAATATGATAAAATACAATAAACACAAAAAGGATACTTACAGAAGCCAGCACGTAATGGTTCAACTAGCCTTAATGTAAAAGTTGTTCCCTTTGGAATGTCTTTCAATGTCTTTGCAACTTCAAAATGCCTACATCCAACCATACTTTGATCATTTACTCTTTCAATATGATCCCCTACCTAAAATCATTATTTTATTAATTATTAATNTAAACAGAAATATTCCGTATCACCACATCATTGATACCACCGTAAAAATTTTTATTGGCCAGATATTGGCAGAAAACTTTTTAAACTGAAAAAAAAAAACAAATGAAAATTTGCTCTACTCAATTTTCTGTTCAATTTCAGTATAAATGTCAAAGACTATTTTTACTGTTTTCATTGTATTTGCACTATATTACATGCAAGTGTGTTCTCTGGATCTTGGTCAGTTCAATGTCATCACAGAAATATTTTAGTGAATCTTACATTGACTTAAATGGCTTAAAAATATTACACTATTTTACTTCAAAATAATTTACAATCTTCAATTTTCAATCTTCTTACAATTTACAATCAACTATTTTACAATATTCAAAATAAACTGGAATAAAATGTGATGTTATTTTTAAAAATATTCCAATGATGTATCAATAGATACTACTATATTTTTTTTCAACTTACATTAAAAATAATGTCTGCAACAAGTTATCTTTAGTACTACTTGCAATTAAGCCTGAATTTTTTTTAATTCCATCATATTTAAGATGGAACTCAAGTTAATATATAATATATTTATTACTCATATTATTATTAATTAATATTTAGTGTAATATGTAACTATCATGATGATGAACCTTTTTTAAATAATTTACTATTGTAACAATATAAATTTCTTAGAGTGATTCTTGTTTTCAAAGTAATTTTATTTCATTTCAAATATTGAATATTTATTTAATATAGTAAGTTCTTATTGCAGAAAGTTGGATATTTTATAAAGGAAACAAAAACAAAATTTAGTTATTTTATAAATTATTATTTCTGGGAAATATTTTAGAGAATTATTTCATATCAATCAATTCATATATAGATTAAAATTAATTAATAAAATTTTTTCTAAGATTTTGAAAATCTAAACAAGAGAAATCAAATATCACCGTAAAACTCACAAAAAAAATTTTTTTAAACTATTTACAAAATATTATTCAATTACAGTATGTAAAGTACAAAACCTGTTTTGAATTCAATTAAACAATAATAAATTTTGGAATGTTTTCTCATGGTTCTATTGCAAATTGAAAGAGAAACAAATACACATGCATAACATACATTTCTATTTTCTTCTAGTATATAAAATTATAGTTTTTTTTATACCAATTAAATATTAATGTTTGTAATTAACATAATATTAACAGTAACACTAAGCACAGGCTTTAGTAATTTAAATATTCTACAAATAATCTTTAAATTTTTTTAAAGTGCTGGTAAATATGCTTTAAAGAAGTTATTTTTGAGCAATGGTTAAAATATACACAGTATTGCACATTTAAAACACATATCTGATGTGCAAAACTATTTATAACAATTAACATTCTTATCCATCCAGTTCATATAAAAGTAAATTGTTAATATGCACAATCTTAGCCTTATAAGTTTGTTACAAAAATCTGTTAATAGAAAATGAAAAATACATTTCTGAACTATAATCTAAATATTAAACTGTTATAAGTCTTGTCTGCTATAAATAGATGATAATAAATAAATAGCCTATTCAGAATAAAATTTTAAATAAAAATAAAACTACAGTATCACTTTAATAGACATATTAATTTTTTTCTTTTTATAAATAGTATACATTTGGAAACGTTTTATAACACATTATTTACTGTATATTATTTTTAAAAGTCAGAATTTACTGTTCCAATTCCAAACTGCAAATAATCATTACAATAAATTTATGTAGGCTAATCAGTTTTGAAAACTTTTTTAAAATTTTACATCACCAATTTAATTATTTAGAAACACATTTTATAATTCTATTGCACCTAAAAATAAATTTATCTGAAAATTACAATTACCCGTATGTATAAAACAGAAAAAAAATCTGAAAACTAATATTTAATAAGAAATACTTTCTCGAAAAATATATTTATACATTTTTACTTTTTAGGTTTAATATATTTAAATCGTAACACTGTTTTCTAAGTGCTGAAAAACAATTTAAAATATTTAAATCCTTAACAATTTAAAAGAATTAAATCGTTAAGAATGGAAAATTTATGAAATATAGGCCTATGTTAGGCCTATAATTCTAAATGTATAGAATAGTATCTAATTTTGTAAACAAATTCGATTTCTTATCCAATCCTGATCGAACTCAATGTGAATGAATATATAGATTCAGAGACCTGTTGTAAAAAGTTTGAAAAATTTCCTAAGATAATAAATAAGCAACAATGGACAAAGTACGTTAACATTAAAACAGAAGAATTAAAAAAACCTGTTTTTATCAGCTAAAGAACATATAATAGAATCTAAACGTGATTTTTAGTTAACAATACTGTAGGACAGATTATCAAACTTGAAATGCATTTATGCATAAAGAAAATAGTCACAAGTAAATATATCTAATTTTACATATCTATTAATCACGAAAGTTGTATAGTATATATGACCGGCAAAATAATTCAGCATAAAAATAAACCAAAGACCGTTTGGCATGTTTGATTCTTCAGATATTTATATGCTATTGTCGATTATATTAATTATTTACAATCACAGGATTTGATCTAAANCATAAATATTTCTTGATTATATTTTATCAAATTATTTTTTAAAGTTAAATATTCTAATATCTGAGTTTAATAGTACTTACTGCTTCTTCAATTGTTGCTGGACCTTTGGCACGTAATCGTAATGTTTCTTTGCCTGTTCCATAGCCTGCCTTTTTACCTCCAGGTCCACCACGTGGTCCTATGTGTGCTAAAAATATTAAATAAGAAGAGTTCTTGAAATAAATATTTCAGACAAATTATGTATTATAACTATTGTGAAATAATCTATATCATTTTCATTGTATGAAGCAAGTAAAAATATAAAACACTTAAAAACTTTAAGAAATCCATTATTTATTGACATTAAATGTTTTTCATGACTTTAATGTTCCATCTTCAGATCCAAATTAAATATATAAAAAACAGAATACAACGTCCAAATGAAGAATAATAATAAATGCCCAAGTTTATCTTGGTTAAATCTTATTGTTTAATCTCAATAAATAACTAGACTCAGTTAAAGCTTTGTGTGCTTTTTGTATTCTTATTTGCTTCATACAATAAATAATACTAATGTAACATTATTTTAAATTTTAAAAATTTTGTAGTAACTACTGTTTTGTTACATTTAAAACTAGCAGACAGAGTCAATGTTGCCTAGTTAAAAGGGACTTTGATTTTAACAAAGAAGAAAAATCTGATTACAAAATCATTTTTGTTGTTTGTGAATTTTATTCTCAAAAGTTTTATATTGAGAACAAATACCCCCTTTATTTAAAAAATGGGTCTAGTCCTTTGTTACTGGTAATACATTAGACTTTTGCTAATCTGACTATCCATTTCTTGCAAAGAGGAGTGCCAGATTATTGAGATTATATAGATCTATAGACAATGACTGATTGACTTGTTGCTTTTTGGTAATGATCCTTTTTAGAGTTGAACTGTTTTCTTATTGTGAAATTATGTACAGTTATAAAATAATTGTAAAAAGTTACATTCATAATAACATGCAATACTGTATACAGAAATGAAACAGGATAAACAAGAAAACAGGATATGTGACAGGATTAACATTTTCATGGAAATAGAAGCATACATGTGAGCACATTGGTGGGAGAGGAGAGGTTTCAACTTGTTGAGTAAAAGAAGTGAGGCTATTGCCATATGTATATGCTACTGAAAAAACATTTTGAAAAAAAATTGAAAGAAGACTAGGCAATATTTTATGCTTGAAAATATCCATTGAACAATTCTCAATTGAATATTGGACAGGTTTGAGAAACGTAGAATTATAGAATATCAAAAGTCTAATGGTTGGCCAGCAAGCATAGAACCACTAAAGTTACATGGACAGTGGAATGCATATTCAAGCAGGATCCTGACACATCATTGAGAACAGTGGCTGCAAAACTTGGTCTTGCCATCAAGTAGTGCAGGCAGAGTGAAATTCTCAATATAATTTTCCTGAGACAGGTTAACTGGTCAGACTAAACATCCATGACCCTGTCAGTAGTGTAGAAAAAAAATCAATAAGCTTTCTGTGTTTATTTATACAGATACTGTAAAACTTTCACTACTAGGTTTGTCACATAACCTAGCAATCAAAGAAATGCTATTTTCTTTAACATATTATCATTTAGGCTTGCAGTCAAAAGCACAGAAGAATAAAAACAATCTTGATGTAAGATAGAAGCTCATCAGAAAAGGCAAATTTATCATTATTATCACCAAAATCTTTCAAAGATCCAGAAGACCATTGCAGAACATTTTTCTCAAGTGTTCAGGGTCACTATTAATTACTGAACAACCAGGGATATTTTGTCATAGAACAATGGGAGCAAAATGAAAAACTTCATAGCTGTATTAAATGAGAAGGGAGGATCAAACATGTTAACTTAGAAAAAGTTCTCAATTTGAGGACTGAGCAAATGAATGCTTTTAGTTTTCAGAAATGAGCTAATTAAGCTTCAGACAAAGGACTTATGCACAAAGTGCAACATCATAGACTATCATTGCAGCAATGGCTGGCTATACAAGTTTAAGAAGCACCGTGGGTTCAGAGTTTTATGTCCATTATTGCTAGAACAAGAAAAGTTGGATGACAGCAACTAAGTTCAATGATCAGCTGACCATATGTAACAATGAAATGAGACATATAAAAGATAAAAGTGTTGCTCATACTGGACAATGTAACTTTTCATATCTGTGACAATCTCAACAATATATGTTTGTGCTCCTTACTTCCTAACACTATGTCAAAATTACAACCACTTGAAGCTGGTGTAATCAGATTGATGCCAGAGAACCTGTCAACCAAAATTTGCTTCTTACTAAGACCATTTAATTGATAGCAGAAGCTTGACAGAAAATAACTTCAATATGCTTCCAATTGTTAGAAGCATATTGATCTCACACATCCTGATACCACTGAAGATCAGACAGTGCTCTAATCAAAACTCCAAGAGCTTTCTTATTCTCTGGCTACAGTTTGTCCTTAAGTTCAAGAAGATGATATCCTGTAAGTTGAAGATGATATACCAGTTTGTGTAAAATGACTCTCAATGATATCATTGAATCTGTGTTGGGATAAACTGAGAATAATGATGAAGTTGTTCCTGAAATTCCTTCCATTGGAAAAGTGCTGGAGTATCTTGAAAATAAAGCAAAAATTTAATAGCTAAAATGTTTTCAGTTAGAAGGTCGTTAAAAATATCTGAAAACATTTAAGTTATTAAATTTTTGCTGCATTTTCAATGTTATTTAAGTGTTCATTATAAATTTTGGGCTGCTTGCCTATGGTTGATGCTGGTGTAAAAAAAAGCTAACAGCTGTAATCTTGGATTTAACTTAGCCATAAACTTCAGAAGAAAAATCACTAATACATTTTGTGAAAAAAGAAAAATTCTCCTGCAAGAAATATGATAAAATACAATAAACACAAAAAGGATACTTACAGAAGCCAGCACGTAATGGTTCAACTAGCCTTAATGTAAAAGTTGTTCCCTTTGGAATGTCTTTCAATGTCTTTGCAACTTCAAAATGCCTACATCCAACCATACTTTGATCATTTACTCTTTCAATATGATCCCCTACCTAAAATCATTATTTTATAAATAATTTAATTATTAAAATTTTTTATTTGAAATAATTTTGTTTAAAATAAAATATAAAATTTACATAAAGTGACGAATTTGATAAAGTAATACAAAATCTATTAGAGACGTAAATCATATTGTTACAATTTTATAAAATTACTTACGCTTTTANTTCATTTTATTATAATATTTTATATATAATTCTTATTTCAAATGTTTTATTACATTTTTTAAATGTTCTTAAAACTTTCAACTTAAAATAAATACAAAATTAAATTGAAAAAAACTAATTGTTTTAATCTAATATGTATTATTTTTTTCATATTTTTCTGAAATTTCCACACCATGCTATATGTAGTGCTAAGAATGATGGGTAAAAATACATTGACAACACAAATACAATACACTTGGAATTATGAATACTACTGTATATGCTGATTGGCTGTGACAGGATCACCACGTTGTCCCAGTACTCTGTTGCCAAAGTACTTGAAGGCAATTTTTCTGTGCATGAGCAGTGATAGACAATTGAATCTCCTCAAAATTACACTAAGTGGAAAGCCAATATAAAAGAGGCTAAAAATGTTTATGATGATAAACTTTCTGCACTGGAAATGTGTGAAAGGTGTACTTTTAGTAAGCACACTATTAAATCATGTTGTATATAACGTTTAACAACTCTGTGCTGTTTATTAGAACAAATGCAAATGATTTTAAAATAATACAATATTTTTATTATTTTTACTACTTAAAACTATTGTAGATTGATATAATATTAAAATGGATACTATGATAGTTCTTTTGTTTCTCTTTTCAAATTCTTCAATCATGCTAATTTAATATTTTGTAAATATGCTGAGTTTTGTAAAAAAAAGTTGAGTTAAAATTTCACACAGTGTATTCTTGTTAATCCAAACTATTATATTAGATTGTTTTGATTAGTGAGAAATTCAGATTAGCATAATAATGTACTGTACATAGTATAAAGAAAAGGAAGTCCAAAAAGCACTAAAGACAAATATACAGTATAAAAATATTTTAAAATATGTATTTGGAACATATACTACACATTTAACATAAATATATAAGTTAATTACATAAATTTAAATTAGATTATTTTTAAAAACATGAAAATTAATATAATGATTTTTTTGTTTTTGATTGGAACATTTAGTATAAAAGGTTATCATTTATGATTTTATGTTTCCTTTTAATACTAAAAGTTATTTGTTTATTGGTTTTAAGCACTCCTCATTTACAAGTTTCTGTGAATTCAAAATTTCACACTTTTATGTGAATTGACCCAATACAGTCAATTCACATAAAGGTGTAAAATTTCCTTACACATTGCACAGTAAATTGGAAAAGATTTATTTATTTCTGAACTGAAAGTCCTAAAATTTTTATACAGTAGTAACTTTATTTTGCTTTTTAGAGAATTTTTACTCTGAAATTGTATAAGTTTTGATGCTCTATTATATGTTCAATGTTTATTATTTAAATTTTCAATTACTGTATTTTTAATTTCTATTCAAAAATATAAATTACGTGAATTTTTAATAAGAGATTTATTGTGAAATATAGTATTGTATAATAAAATCGCAACTGATATTTTGTTTTTATATCGATGATATTTGCTTTAAATGTCATTGTTAAAGAAACAATAATACTAAAGAGATGTTCGTGGTATCGATGTTTACGTAAACGTCAATTAATATGATAAAACCACGAATAAAATTCAGTACTGAAAAACTAAGCTTATTTTATATTAGAAACACTTGCTGATGAAAGAATAGAGGATAGAGATTCCATAGTATGTATAATGTGTTTAGTATAAGCCCAGAATTTTTAGTACTCGGTTATATCACGCTTTTTCTTTATCTCCCGACAAGCACGATATAACAAGGGGCTATTGTATTAGATTTTATACTAATCATTAAGTAAATTTTAATCAAACAGAACATAATTTTTTCAGTTTAATAAATTTATCTATTTTTAAATATTCTGTATATGTTAAACATAAAACAAAACAGTATTGTTAAAAAAAATTATTTTTAACTTTATACATTCTCACCTGGATGAATCCAATTCTATCAATCAGACTGCCTTCTTTAATCCTCTTAATAAATGCATACCCTGCACCATTATCAGTTATAGTTAAGCCCAATGCATCTTCTGTTTTTGTAATTTCCACTTCTTTAGCTTGTCCTTTCCTATGTATAAAAATGAAATCTTCTAATCCTATTTGTCCTCCAAGCAATTTTGTCATATCCACTTTATGAGTGTTGAGAGTACAAAAGAGTATCTGAAATTTAAAAAAATATATAATTACATATACATTTAACTTAAGTAACATATTATAACTAACAAGACTGAGAATTGTAATAATTTCTATCAATGTTATTTCATATATATAATATCATACAAAGTTATATTTAACTATGATAGAGCTTTGTCAAATTAAAAAAAAAAAACATTTCAGTACAGTTGGTTCTCAATATTCAAATTAGTGGTTGCAAAATTTAATATACTAAAAATTTGGCCAGCATGTCTTCACTCTCACCTAAGTAACCTTTAGTGCCCACCAGTGGCCAAGTGGTCTTAGTACCCTGAACAGTGGGAGTTCAGTTGTAGGTTCGCACCTCGCTCGGACGGGCTGGCCACGTGGAGTTTCCAGGTTTTCTCTATGTCTGTACACTAAATAGGGACCAGTTTCCCTTAAAAAGACCCCCTCTAGGCAGATCGCCCAAGTGCTGTGTTGCCATAACTTAACAAACAAACTAACTGAGTGACCTTTGTCTTTTGTGTACCTGGTATATCCTGATGTATTCGTTATTCTTAACTATGAAATAAAATTTTGTCTTAGTATTTTCAGAAAAACAAGTCTAAAATGTTATTAATTAAGAAGTTTTGTATTTTGTAATGAACACACATTTTTCTGTTATTGTAAATTGTTGCATAAGTATTTAGGCAACAGAAAAATCTGCTATTTGAACAAGAGTACAAATTTTCACAAAATTTCATTATTTTGTTGACACAATCTTGCATATACAGACTCCACTGCACTTCAAGTTAGACCACATACTTGCTTACAAGCCCAAAATCAAATGACAAAACCAAAATTGGAAAATGGATTTAATTCTTTCATTTTGTACTATTAATCAAGAAAATACACAGGCAAAAACATAAAATCATATTTCATACATATAATGTATTTAAACAAACTGTCTATTATACAGTACATAAGTCCAATAATAATATCTTTGTTATTATATCTGAAAATAAAAAAAATTTTCGAATAGTTTTTCATATCCACTAGCTAAAGCAGTGGTCCTCAAATAGTGCCACAAGAGATGGTTAAATGTGATATGAATACATATTATGAAAGTATATGTGAAAAATAATAAACCAATTTGTACAAAAATTTACATTACATCCATAATAGCCTAAACTATCAGTGTATAGGGTAGCAGTTATTATTGTACACAACTAAGTTATTTATTATTTAAAATATATTAATATAGTTTTAATTTTGTACCAGTACATGAAGTACATCAGAAAAATTTTACATTTTATAGTGTGCTGCAAGTCAAAAAGTTTGAGAAGCACTGATCTATGGTATTTTCTGCTATTATTTAAACAGAAATATTCCGTATCACCACATCATTGATACCACCGTAAAAATTTTTATTGGCCAGATATTGGCAGAAAACTTTTTAAACTGAAAAAAAAAAACAAATGAAAATTTGCTCTACTCAATTTTCTGTTCAATTTCAGTATAAATGTCAAAGACTATTTTTACTGTTTTCATTGTATTTGCACTATATTACATGCAAGTGTGTTCTCTGGATCTTGGTCAGTTCAATGTCATCACAGAAATATTTTAGTGAATCTTACATTGACTTAAATGGCTTAAAAATATTACACTATTTTACTTCAAAATAATTTACAATCTTCAATTTTCAATCTTCTTACAATTTACAATCAACTATTTTACAATATTCAAAATAAACTGGAATAAAATGTGATGTTATTTTTAAAAATATTCCAATGATGTATCAATAGATACTACTATATTTTTTTTCAACTTACATTAAAAATAATGTCTGCAACAAGTTATCTTTAGTACTACTTGCAATTAAGCCTGAATTTTTTTTAATTCCATCATATTTAAGATGGAACTCAAGTTAATATATAATATATTTATTACTCATATTATTATTAATTAATATTTAGTGTAATATGTAACTATCATGATGATGAACCTTTTTTAAATAATTTACTATTGTAACAATATAAATTTCTTAGAGTGATTCTTGTTTTCAAAGTAATTTTATTTCATTTCAAATATTGAATATTTATTTAATATAGTAAGTTCTTATTGCAGAAAGTTGGATATTTTATAAAGGAAACAAAAACAAAATTTAGTTATTTTATAAATTATTATTTCTGGGAAATATTTTAGAGAATTATTTCATATCAATCAATTCATATATAGATTAAAATTAATTAATAAAATTTTTTCTAAGATTTTGAAAATCTAAACAAGAGAAATCAAATATCACCGTAAAACTCACAAAAAAAATTTTTTTAAACTATTTACAAAATATTATTCAATTACAGTATGTAAAGTACAAAACCTGTTTTGAATTCAATTAAACAATAATAAATTTTGGAATGTTTTCTCATGGTTCTATTGCAAATTGAAAGAGAAACAAATACACATGCATAACATACATTTCTATTTTCTTCTAGTATATAAAATTATAGTTTTTTTTATACCAATTAAATATTAATGTTTGTAATTAACATAATATTAACAGTAACACTAAGCAGGCTTTAGTAATTTAAATATTCTACAAATAATCTTTAAATTTTTTTAAAGTGCTGGTAAATATGCTTTAAAGAAGTTATTTTTGAGCAATGGTTAAAATATACACAGTATTGCACATTTAAAACACATATCTGATGTGCAAAACTATTTATAACAATTAACATTCTTATCCATCCAGTTCATATAAAAGTAAATTGTTAATATGCACAATCTTAGCCTTATAAGTTTGTTACAAAAATCTGTTAATAGAAAATGAAAAATACATTTCTGAACTATAATCTAAATATTAAACTGTTATAAGTCTTGTCTGCTATAAATAGATGATAATAAATAAATAGCCTATTCAGAATAAAATTTTAAATAAAAATAAAACTACAGTATCACTTTAATAGACATATTAATTTTTTTCTTTTTATAAATAGTATACATTTGGAAACGTTTTATAACACATTATTTACTGTATATTATTTTTAAAAGTCAGAATTTACTGTTCCAATTCCAAACTGCAAATAATCATTACAATAAATTTATGTAGGCTAATCAGTTTTGAAAACTTTTTTAAAATTTTACATCACCAATTTAATTATTTAGAAACACATTTTATAATTCTATTGCACCTAAAAATAAATTTATCTGAAAATTACAATTACCGGTATGTATAAAACAAAAAAAAATCTGAAAACTAATATTTAATAAGAAATACTTTCTCGAAAAATATATTTATACATTTTTATTTTTTGGGTTTAATATATTTAAATCTGTAACACTGGTTTCTAAGTGCTGAAAAACAATTTAAAATATTTAAATCCTTAACAAGTTAAAAGAATTAAATCGTTAAGAATGGAAAATGTATGAAATATAGGCCTATGTTAGGCCTATAATTCTAAATGTATAGAATAGTATCTAATTTTGTAAACAAATTCGATTTCTTATCCAATCTTGATCGAACTCAATGTGAGTGAATATATAGATTCAGAGACCTGTTGTAAAAAGTTTGAAAAATTTCCTAAGATAATAAATAAGCAACAACGGACAAAGTGCGTTAACATTAAAACAGAAGAATTAAAAAAGCCTGTTTTTATCAGTTAAAGAACATTTAATAGAATCTAAACGTGATTTTTAGTTAACAATACTGTAGGACAGATTATCAAACTTGAAATGCATTTATGCATAAAGAAAATAGTCACAAGTAAATATATCCAATTTTACATATCTATTAATCACGAAAGTTGTATAGTATATATGACCGGCAAAATAATTCAGCATAAAAATAAACCAAAGACCGTTTGGCATGTTTGATTCTTCAGATATTTATATGCTATTGTCGATTATATTAATTATTTACAATCACAGGATTTGATCTAAATTGATTTTATAATTTTTTTTAATTAATTTGAAATTCTAGTTATTTCGATCAAATTTGAAAGAATACCGATATCGTCGCAGTTAAAATAACCGAAGGTTATTTCGGTCAAGGTATCAAACTGGTTTAGATGATTGCCAAAGGCATAGAACAAGGACTGATATTATCCTTGAAAATTATGGCTTGCAGCAATATCATAATCAGTATATGTATTATACAAAGACATTTTTTCCATAATCAAAATAATAATCGCGTTTCATGAAAAACTTGTACGATATTTGCATCAGTATTAAATTAGTGCATTAAATCATTAACTTCCACTGTTAAAGCTATAGATTAAATTGATTTAAAAAATACTGAAATCAATGACCTACATACAATTTATTTGTGGCAAACGATTAACCAATTTATTAGACGACTGTTAAGAGGCCATTCATATCCTGTCATTAGGCCTTGAATTTCGTGACCCATTTCAGATTCTCTATATGATAATGTGATTTTTTTTATCACATTATCTCTTCCAAATATGTTCAGATATCATCTTGTACCAATTTACCCAGTGAGAAAGTTGTTTTCTTTGATGCTGGCGTTACATTTTTGACATAAATTAATTTTTGCGCTTTTTTAATTAAATTTGATTCTTAAAAATAAATGTTTAACACGATAATGTTAAAGATTTTAGATTAATTTTTATTTAAACGAATGTCTTAAATAATTAAAAAAACTGATATTATTGACAAAATTTGAGCATCGAATATTTAATATTTTATTTTATTTATTCTTCTATAACAATTACTGTTTAATTCTTTATCTATTCACATTTTTTTTCATGTGCCCAGTTATAAAACTATGTCCAATTACTGTTAAACATGCATTGTCAAGTTTCAAAACTACTAATTATTATTATTATTTTTTTATTACAATTGCTGTCTACTGTCTCTATTATAAAGATATGTAATTGCATTAAAATGCTTCTCATCATAAGAATTAAATAAAATTCTGTGAAAAACGTCTTATTTAATAATATCGTTGGCTTCTTTTTATGTTGAAATATTGCATTTCTTAAAAACTTTATCTGTTCTACATTAGTAAACCATTAAATTTATAAATTAAAATTTAATTCTGCATCTTAAAACTATTTCCATAATTATTATACGGATTAAAGTTTAATTAACTAAATGAATTTCGGAGTTTTGCTATAACCGTGTTATATTCTTATCAGTTATATTAAACGCATAATCGAAATATTCGAAATAATCTGTCGTTGACTATTATAAAATTCTTCTATAAAATTCTAACAGAATAAAAAAATATTTTAGTTTTATTGAATTTAATCTTAACAGACGAAAATAATAATTGAAAATTTAGAATAGTCTCTAAAGTGAAACTGCACTCGACTTTTCATATCACATCATTTTTTAAATTATTTCATTATGTAATATTTATATCAATGTAACTAATATTGTATGTAGTATAAAAATAAAAACAGATTTCCTTAAATAAATAACTCAATATATGTACAATAAATAATATTAAATAAAGAGAATCATTAATGGTCAATTAATCGATTCACTTGAGCAATACCAGCAATTAAAATAGCTATCTAGTTGATTCACCTAAAATGATTATTTTCATCAAATAATTTATTTGGGTTACAATTTTCACCAACTATTAAAAATTCTACCTGAACGAATAGTCGAGTAATACTGTTAGAGTATGACAATATATAAAATAAATATATCACAAAGAGTAAGTTTCTAATTGTAAAAACAAACAAACAAACAAAAATTGTCAACCTTTGTACAATATTTTAAAAAATAAGCCTCAAAAATCATAATTTATATATATACTGTATATAGCAAAAGATGGTATTATGAAACCATTTTATTTTTTATCGATTTGTTATTAACATTTTTGTTTTGATATGTTATAAGCTCAATTTCTTAATTTCTGGTATGTAATTCTTATTTTATTAGCGAGTAGCCAAAAAATAAAAAAAAACTAAGCATATCCATTCCTAACTTAAATTCGCACTTTTCCATTTACAAGAAAACTTATATAAAATTAAATGAAAAAGTACATACAAGTACAATTGAGTAATGAGTCACTAGGTGCTCAAAATATGGACTCCATTTTTTTTTGAAGTACGGGAAAGTTAAAAAAAACTGACAAAATGTTGTGTAAATATTTTATATATTTGGCTAAAAACTTATTAAAACTTACGTATATAAACTTACGTTAGACCTATACAATACTTTGTTTTCTTAGTAGACCGTAAAATATGTTTAAAAAGTTGCAAGAGAACGTTTATTTTGATTTTTCTTTCCTCTATCTGCAAGTCACATACACAATCTAATTTATCTGAAAGCTTGTCTTTGTAGAGATGACGGATCTGAATGCCGTGTATTACAGCTAACTGATACACTATTTTACGTAATATGGAACCCGGGTCGATATTACGATAATTCAATATTACAAACAACGCCATTTTGAAAAACCCTGAAGCCAACAACATATAGATAAAGTATCTGATGGTAGAAATTATGTGTTAATTTATCAATTAAAAACAGACAAAGTTGTGTATATCTTTAAAAAATTTGAAAGTAAACTAAAGACAAAAAGCTTCCTCAACCATCATTACAAAACGAGATCCCAGCCCTTTATGAGCCTTAGTGCGATCTAATAAACATCTTGTAGCTGTCACTAGTGACATAACAGTGTACATTATTCTGACCAAACGAATTCACTTTTTTTGGTATTGCTCTAGAAACCATTATTGGATAATTAATGAAATATAAACTTCAATTATACGTAAATATATGGGCCTATAAAGATACATACAATATTACAGTTATTATATACAAACTATAATATTTTTATTGTTATACAGTAATATAGACTGACAATTCCTTTTAGAAAGATAATATTATGACAGGAAGAAAATTCTTATTGCATTAGTTGCCGACAAAAACGTATTATAATGTTTTTTCTAATACTATAAAAATATTTAATTACTAGAAGACCCCGCCACGCGTTGTTGTGGCTCAAAATGTATCTATTATAAATGTATAACACTTCCCCCGTGGGGGAAAATTTTTCGAAAAATTTCTTCTTAGTGTACATTCTCTTGACGTACCCTATTAAAACGCAGTCAAAAACGCAAAAACCCGTATCTAAAATAGTATAAATAGAAGCAGAGTTCTTTACAGTAAGCCTTAATCCTGTCCATCTCCCGGGGGGGGGATTTCGACATGTAGGCCTATATTATATAAAAACACGTGCGTATTCGATTGCAGCGTTGTGTCAAAATTTCAAAAGAATCGGTAGGAACAAACGAACATTACATTTTTATTTATATAAATAGATAGAAGATGATCCGCTTTAGTTCATTTTCAGAGAAAAGCAAACTTAGGGCGTCGTACTCGTAGCGCCATCTGTTGGACATAAAAGCCTTAACCTAGATTATATATTTTAATTTATATGAATGTTTAACGGAATAATATACATCCTATGTCCACCCCGAGGTTCCATTCTAAATATTGGTGAAAGAAGTTTTGAAATCGGATGAGTAGTTTCGGAGATTACCTGCTACATCCAAACATTACCTCTTTATAATATTAGTATAGATTATTGTTATTTCAATTTTCATAATTGAAATAACAATAATAATTAAATATCATTAAATTCATTAATAATTTTATAAACATTAGTTTAAATATACTAATGTTTATAAAATTTTCAATACAATTACAACACAATAGTAACTGAGTTATAAGAATAAAATATGTTGGTAAAATAATTGGCAAGAGAAATAGAAACATTATTATAAAATTTATATTTCTGTGCGAAAAGTATGTTATTCTTATATCATAGTATAATTAAATTCACTTCATGTTCATTTTTTACGGAAGAAAGATACTAAATTTCTTGACAAAATCCTATCAAATGTTAGTCAATTTATTACATCTTATAGATAATTAACTGCAAAATATAATTTTTTTATAAGTTTACTATAATAAATATGATCTGAACATTTAAACCTGATATTTATAATAGTCCTGTATTAAATGTTTATCAGAAATATTACAAATACAATTTAAGTGGCAGTTTTCTTCTATTACAAATACAATAATAAATTAGTGTAGTATAAAAAACTAACTCTAAACAGATTTTTATAATATATTAATGAATTATTTTAATAGTCTTAATTAGTCTTAAAGCCAAAGATGAGAAAGTCTTTTTTTCTGTGTGAATATTAGTCATATAATTAAAGTTAAGCATAAGCTTTTACCTGAAGATTACAGCCTAGTTGTATTATTGAAAGTTAGCTTTTACTTCATCTGCAAATAAAAACAAAAGCTTATACTGCTGTAGGCTAGTAGTAAAAGGTAGAGCATTTACTTGCTTCACTTTTAGCTTTTACTTGAGAAGCAAGTAAAAGCTAAAAGTGATATGATAAAACAACAGTAATTGCTTCATTTTGCTAGTAAATGTTTAAAANTTTTGATGCTCTATTATATGTTCAATGTTTATTATTTAAATTTTCAATTACTGTATTTTTAATTTCTATTCAAAAATATAAATTACGTGAATTTTTAATAAGAGATTTATTGTGAAATATAGTATTGTATAATAAAATCGCAACTGATATTTTGTTTTTTTATATCGATGATATTTGCTTTAAATGTCATTGTTAAAGAAACAATAATACTAAAGAGATGTTTGTGGTATCGATGTTTACATAAACGTCAATTAATATGATATAACCACGAATAAAATTCAGTATTGAAAAACTAAGCTTATTTTATATTAGAAACACTTGCTGATGAAAGAATAGAGGATAGAGATTCCATAGTATGTATAATGTGTTTAGTATAAGCCCAGAATTTTTAGTACTCGGTTATATCACGCTTTTTCTTTATCTCCCGACAAGCACGATATAACAAGGGGCTATTGTATTAGATTTTATACTAATCATTAAGTAAATTTTAATCAAACAGAACATAATTTTTTCAGTTTAATAAATTTATCTATTTTTAAATATTCTGTATATGTTAAACATAAAACAAAACAGTATTGTTAAAAAAAATTATTTTTAACTTTATACATTCTCACCTGGATGAATCCAATTCTATCAATCAGACTGCCTTCTTTAATCCTCTTAATAAATGCATACCCTGCACCATTATCAGTTATAGTTAAGCCCAACGCATCTTCTGTTTTTGTAATTTCCACTTCTTTAGCTTGTCCTTTCCTATGTATAAAAATGAAATCTTCTAATCCTATTTGTCCTCCAAGCAATTTTGTCATATCCACTTTATGAGTGTTGAGAGTACAAAAGAGTATCTGAAATTTAAAAAAATATATAATTACATATACATTTAACTTAAGTAACATATTATAACTAACAAGACTGAGAATTGTAATAATTTCTATCAATGTTATTTCATATATATAATATCATACAAAGTTATATTTAACTATGATAGAGCTTTGTCAAATTAAAAAAAAAAAACATTTCAGTACAGTTGGTTCTCAATATTCAAATTAGTGGTTGCAAAATTTAATATACTAAAAATTTGGCCAGCATGTCTTCACTCTCACCTAAGTAACCTTTAGTGCCCACCAGTGGCCAAGTGGTCTTAGTACCCTGAACAGTGGGAGTTCAGTTGTAGGTTCGCACCTCGCTTGGACGGGCTGGCCACGTGGAGTTTCCGGGTTTTCTCTATGTCTGTACACTAAATAGGGACCAGTTTCCCTTAAAAAGACCCCCTCTAGGCAGATCGCCCAAGTGCTGTGTTGCCATAACTTAACAAACAAACTAACTGAGTGACCTTTGTCTTTTGTGTACCTGGTATATCCTGATGTATTCGTTATTCTTAACTATGAAATAAAATTTTGTCTTAGTATTTTCAGAAAAACAAGTCTAAAATGTTATTAATTAAGAAGTTTTGTATTTTGTAATGAACACATATTTTTCTGTTATTGTAAATTGTTGCATAAGTATTTAGGCAACAGAAAAATCTGCTATTTGAACAAGAGTACAAATTTTCACAAAATTTCATTATTTTGTTGACACAATCTTGCATATACAGACTCCACTGCACTTCAAGTTAGACCACATACTTGCTTACAAGCCCAAAATCAAATGACAAAACCAAAATTGGAAAATGGATTTAATTCTTTCATTTTGTACTATTAATCAAGAAAATACACAGGCAAAAACATAAAATCATATTTCATACATATAATGTATTTAAACAAACTGTCTATTATACAGTACATAAGTCCAATAATAATATCTTTGTTATTATATCTGAAAATAAAAAAAATTTTCGAATAGTTTTTCATATCCACTAGCTAAAGCAGTGGTCCTCAAATAGTGCCACAAGAGATGGTTAAATGTGATATGAATACATATTATGAAAGTATATGTGAAAAATAATAAACCAATTTGTACAAAAATTTACATTACATCCATAATAGCCTAAACTATCAGTGTATAGGGTAGCAGTTATTATTGTACACAACTAAGTTATTTATTATTTAAAATATATTAATATAGTTTTAATTTTGTACCAGTACATGAAGTACATCAGAAAAATTTTACATTTTATAGTGTGCTGCAAGTCAAAAAGTTTGAGAAGCACTGATCTATGGTATTTTCTGCTATTATTTAAACAGAAATATTCCGTATCACCACATCATTGATACCACCGTAAAAATTTTTATTGGCCAGATATTGGCAGAAAACTTTTTAAACTGAAAAAAAAAAACAAATGAAAATTTGCTCTACTCAATTTTCTGTTCAATTTCAGTATAAATGTCAAAGACTATTTTTACTGTTTTCATTGTATTTGCACTATATTACATGCAAGTGTGTTCTCTGGATCTTGGTCAGTTCAATGTCATCACAGAAATATTTTAGTGAATCTTACATTGACTTAAATGGCTTAAAAATATTACACTATTTTACTTCAAAATAATTTACAATCTTCAATTTTCAATCTTCTTACAATTTACAATCAACTATTTTACAATATTCAAAATAAACTGGAATAAAATGTGATGTTATTTTTAAAAATATTCCAATGATGTATCAATAGATACTACTATATTTTTTTTCAACTTACATTAAAAATAATGTCTGCAACAAGTTATCTTTAGTACTACTTGCAATTAAGCCTGAATTTTTTTTAATTCCATCATATTTAAGATGGAACTCAAGTTAATATATAATATATTTATTACTCATATTATTATTAATTAATATTTAGTGTAATATGTAACTATCATGATGATGAACCTTTTTTAAATAATTTACTATTGTAACAATATAAATTTCTTAGAGTGATTCTTGTTTTCAAAGTAATTTTATTTCATTTCAAATATTGAATATTTATTTAATATAGTAAGTTCTTATTGCAGAAAGTTGGATATTTTATAAAGGAAACAAAAACAAAATTTAGTTATTTTATAAATTATTATTTCTGGGAAATATTTTAGAGAATTATTTCATATCAATCAATTCATATATAGATTAAAATTAATTAATAAAATTTTTTCTAAGATTTTGAAAATCTAAACAAGAGAAATCAAATATCACCGTAAAACTCACAAAAAAAATTTTTTTAAACTATTTACAAAATATTATTCAATTACAGTATGTAAAGTACAAAACCTGTTTTGAATTCAATTAAACAATAATAAATTTTGGAATGTTTTCTCATGGTTCTATTGCAAATTGAAAGAGAAACAAATACACATGCATAACATACATTTCTATTTTCTTCTAGTATATAAAATTATAGTTTTTTTTATACCAATTAAATATTAATGTTTGTAATTAACATAATATTAACAGTAACACTAAGCAGGCTTTAGTAATTTAAATATTCTACAAATAATCTTTAAATTTTTTTAAAGTGCTGGTAAATATGCTTTAAAGAAGTTATTTTTGAGCAATGGTTAAAATATACACAGTATTGCACATTTAAAACACATATCTGATGTGCAAAACTATTTATAACAATTAACATTCTTATCCATCCAGTTCATATAAAAGTAAATTGTTAATATGCACAATCTTAGCCTTATAAGTTTGTTACAAAAATCTGTTAATAGAAAATGAAAAATACATTTCTGAACTATAATCTAAATATTAAACTGTTATAAGTCTTGTCTGCTATAAATAGATGATAATAAATAAATAGCCTATTCAGAATAAAATTTTAAATAAAAATAAAACTACAGTATCACTTTAATAGACATATTAATTTTTTTCTTTTTATAAATAGTATACATTTGGAAACGTTTTATAACACATTATTTACTGTATATTATTTTTAAAAGTCAGAATTTACTGTTCCAATTCCAAACTGCAAATAATCATTACAATAAATTTATGTAGGCTAATCAGTTTTGAAAACTTTTTTAAAATTTTACATCACCAATTTAATTATTTAGAAACACATTTTATAATTCTATTGCACCTAAAAATAAATTTATCTGAAAATTACAATTACCGGTATGTATAAAACAAAAAAAAATCTGAAAACTAATATTTAATAAGAAATACTTTCTCGAAAAATATATTTATACATTTTTATTTTTTGGGTTTAATATATTTAAATCTGTAACACTGGTTTCTAAGTGCTGAAAAACAATTTAAAATATTTAAATCCTTAACAAGTTAAAAGAATTAAATCGTTAAGAATGGAAAATGTATGAAATATAGGCCTATGTTAGGCCTATAATTCTAAATGTATAGAATAGTATCTAATTTTGTAAACAAATTCGATTTCTTATCCAATCTTGATCGAACTCAATGTGAGTGAATATATAGATTCAGAGACCTGTTGTAAAAAGTTTGAAAAATTTCCTAAGATAATAAATAAGCAACAACGGACAAAGTGCGTTAACATTAAAACAGAAGAATTAAAAAAGCCTGTTTTTATCAGTTAAAGAACATTTAATAGAATCTAAACGTGATTTTTAGTTAACAATACTGTAGGACAGATTATCAAACTTGAAATGCATTTATGCATAAAGAAAATAGTCACAAGTAAATATATCCAATTTTACATATCTATTAATCACGAAAGTTGTATAGTATATATGACCGGCAAAATAATTCAGCATAAAAATAAACCAAAGACCGTTTGGCATGTTTGATTCTTCAGATATTTATATGCTATTGTCGATTATATTAATTATTTACAATCACAGGATTTGATCTAAATTGATTTTATAATTTTTTTTAATTAATTTGAAATTCTAGTTATTTCGATCAAATTTGAAAGAATACCGATATCGTCGCAGTTAAAATAACCGAAGGTTATTTCGGTCAAGGTATCAAACTGGTTTAGATGATTGCCAAAGGCATAGAACAAGGACTGATATTATCCTTGAAAATTATGGCTTGCAGCAATATCATAATCAGTATATGTATTATACAAAGACATTTTTTCCATAATCAAAATAATAATCGCGTTTCATGAAAAACTTGTACGATATTTGCATCAGTATTAAATTAATGCATAAAATCATTAACTTCCACTATTAAAGCTATAGATTAAATTGATTTAAAAAATACTGAAATCAATGACCTACATACAATTTATTTGTGGCAAACGATTAACCAATTTATTAGACGACTGTTAAGAGGCCATTCATATCCTGTCATTAGGCCTTGAATTTCGTGACCCATTTCAGATTCTCTATATGATAATGTGATTTTTTTTATCACATTATCTCTTCCAAATATGTTCAGATATCATCTTGTACCAATTCACCCAGTGAGAAAGTTGTTTTCTTTGATGCTGGCGTTACATTTTTGACATAAATTAATTTTTGCGCTTTTTTAATTAAATTTGATTCTTAAAAATAAATGTTTAACACGATAATGTTAAAGATTTTAGATTAATTTTTATTTAAACGAATGTCTTAAATAATTAAAAAAAACTGATATTATTGATAAAATTTGAGCATCGAATATTTAATATTTTATTTTATTTATTCTTCTATAACAATTACTGTTTAATTCTTTATCTATTCACATTTTTTTTCATGTGCCCAGTTATAAAACTATGTCCAATTACTGTTAAACATGCATTGTCAAGTTTCAAAACTACTAATTATTATTATTATTTTTTTATTACAATTGCTGTCTACTGTCTCTATTATAAAGATATGTAATTGCATTAAAATGCTTCTCATCATAAGAATTAAATAAAATTCTGTGAAAAACGTCTTATTTAATAATATCGTTGGCTTCTTTTTATGTTGAAATATTGCATTTCTTAAAAACTTTATCTGTTCTACATTAGTAAACCATTAAATTTATA